TCTGCCCGGTGCCCTTTCCTGCCTCGGCCCCTGGTCGACTCATCGCCCACCGAGCCTCTCCTGTCCGAGGAGGCTGCCCGCTCACGTCCTCAGACACGCCCCAGCTCGCCCTGCTGGCGTCCAGGGGGAGCCTGGCTCTCTGCACAGTTGGTCTCTGGCTGGACACGATCTCACTGTGACAGGATCCGATTCAGAAAGCCAAGAGCCCAGTGGGGAGCTCGGGCTCTTGGCTCCTGCTGGGAGTTAGGCCAAGAGGGAGACGCAGCTTCTGCAGGCTGCAGGCGGGAGGCTCCGGGAGGCTCCGGGGAGGTTGGGTCTGGCCGGAGCCGCTCCTGGTCTCACGTCATGCGGGGCAGCACGGGGCTGACCAGTGGCCTGGGGCACTTGCTCAGACCCCTCACGAGGGGCACTGGTCAGAGCAGCCTTATGTCTCAGGGCCCGGCGGCTGTCTGACGCAGCAGCCCGTTCTGCGCAGCTCCCCATCCAGGCGCCGTGGTTGTGTCCAGGGCCCCGGCTCTGCCTTCCTGAACTGATCTCTTTCTGTGGGCCCACCACGGAGTCCCGGTCCCTAGTGCTCTGACGTGTGCTCTGTGGTAGGGCCTCGTTCAGTCTCGGCTGATTGAATACGTCATCTTAATTTATCGTCGAATAAATTTTATTTATCATTGAGTAAATCATAAGTAGTTGGATAAATAGATGCATGGATTTATTTATTTTACATGTATTTATTCACTCATTCAACAAGTACTTGCTGAGCACTGTCTTAGGTGGGTTTTGGGGGTGCAGTGGCAAATGAACCCGCAGGTAAAGGCTCCGTCCTGCTGGAGAGAAACAGAGAGCAAATGTGTCTGTGGAGAGAGAATCGGGGCACGATGAGCTCTCACGACAATTAAACCTAACGGGCAGCTACAGAGGGCTGGGGTGGCCTTTGTGGAGTGGCAGGGACTCGTCTCCGAGGAGGTGACATCGGAACGAGGCGGGAACCTTCCCAGGCTCAGAGAGTGAGTGGGGTGGCGGGAGGCGCCCAGGTGTGGGTCGGACCTCACAGAGGGCAGGAGGGCGTTCAGAGTAAGGGGGTCTCTGGGGACCCGGGGTGGGGATGCTCAGTGCATGGCACTGCCCTCTGCTCAGTGGTCGGTCACCTCAGATGACCCGAGGCCATCTCAAACCTCTCGCCTGGACACCCAGGCTCAGCAGCAGGTCCCGCTGGCTCTGCTCCCAAACACATCCGGCAGCCAGGAGCACCTCCCGCCGCCCCCGCCGCCCGCGTGCGCGTTTCGGAAACAGATCGGATTATATTACTCCTCTGCTCGCAGCGGCTTCGCCTGCACTGAGAATCAGCCCCGGAACCTCTGCCATGCCCCCCAACCCCAGGTGACTCTCTGTGAGCACATCTCTGACACCCCCATGAAGGCTCTGCTCCCCAGTTTCTGCCTGGAAGGCTATTGGTGACCGGTTTGCTCCCGGCTCAGTGTCTCCTCCAAGAGAGGCCGAGCCAGCAGCTCCGTGCACCCAGACCCCGCTCACAACACTCAGTCACTCGCCGGGTCTTTCCTGTTCCGGGTGATCTGTTCATCGGTCCTGACGGCCGTTCCCTTCGACAGCGTTCCGTGGTGCAGGGAGGGCCCTCCACGTTCCCAGGCAGGCCTGCCGGCCCCTGAGGACAGCGCGGCCTCAGGAAGTGCTGAGCAGGCGAGGGCCCCGTGTCCCTCTGCCCTGGGCCTCCGCCCGCACCTGCCCAGACGGGCAGAGCTGGTCCAGCGTGCACTTTGGACTTGGGCAGGCCTCAGTCTCAGAAACGCCACCTCTGCCTCTCCCTCGCAGGTGGCCTTGGACGTGTTTCACAAGCTCTTTGCGTCTGTTACTGCAGTTTGAAAATGAGAATGACGATTATAACAGCACCTAGCGCCTCGGTGTCTGTAAAGCCAGTGCCCAGCACAGGAAGAGCATCGATAAGTGACGCTTCACGTTAGCATCGTCGTTGCTGTAGTTATTGATCAGTTAGGTGTTATTCTTTAACGCCCGGCCCAGCAGCCTCCAGAACCCACCTCTACAAGGCCCGAGCAGAGGCTGGACTTCTGGACGGCCTCCTCCCACCTGCACTTGGCCACGCCCACCGGCCCTGGCAGCAGCCACGCCCATGCAGCCCCGCTGGCTCTCAGCGGCGGCCCCTCCCTCCCTCCAGCCCTCCCTCCCGCCCTCCCTCCAGCTGTCCCCTGCCTCCCAGAGTCTGTGCCCTGGCCGCTCCAGACCCCTGGCCTTTTCCTGTTCATCCACAGATGACCAATGATCCAGCTATGGGGTTAGTGTTCTCCGCTTTTAAAATCGCACCCAGAGGGCAATGCCGAGCCGACAGTGGGGCTTCGCGCACTGTGGCCGAGACTCTGCAGGTGTACGGCCAGTTCCTCCAATGACATCTTGAACGAGTCCCGTGGATGGGGCCTACTTGGGGTTTCAAGGCTTCCAACTGCTGCTCCCCTCCTGCTGTCTGTGGGAAACCGCATGCTTCCGAGGACAGCTCTCCCCTGAGCGGGGGTGGGGGGTGTGGGGGTGGCGGGAGAAACCCTGCATCCCACCTGGGTCTGTCCCGCCCCACTCACGCACACCGCAGGCCCCTGCCCCCGTGTGGGGAGAGGTGGGCCTCTCCCTGGCTCTGGGCGACAGGCCTCCCTGAGAGAGCCTGCCCCACCTCAGGCAAGGTCCTGGGTCCAGCCCTTTCCCACTGTGGAGAAAATAGCAAGAAAAACAGATGAGAACTGATACCCCAGGCTGCAGGGTCTGCTGGGACCTGGCCCTGGAGGAGCCCGGCTCCAGGCAGTCGGGGCCGGCGGGGGTGGGCAGGGGGGGCACCTCCCTAAGCCAGAGGTTGCCTCCCCCCCACACTGCCAGTGTCCGCCTCCCCGGTGGGTCACCAGTCCCCCTGTGGGTCCTGGGCTGGACCCCCATCCTCGGGCTGGACAACCCCCCTCTCTCGTGCCGCTCTGTCTGAACAGGGCCAGACGTTCCCATTTCAAAGTGAGTCAGATGTGCCCAGTCCGCCGACCGCCCGCACTCGAATGGCCTCCAGTGAGCCCGTCGCCCGGGAGGGGCCCGGGCCAGTCGCTGCCCCTTCCTGGGCCTCGAATCGATAACCCGTGAAGTGGGGATTCCGTACACAGGACGGGGCGGGTCCCTGAGGGAGGAACGTGAGCTGCAGTGTGGCAGACAGAGGCCCTGCCCGTCTGCAGCTGCTCCCGCTAAGCCTGGCCCTGGGCACCATGTCCTCCCGCTGGCTTCTCTGGTGACAAAACGGTCCCTTTGGTCCTGCCTGTGGACTCTTGCTCAGAGTTTATCCCCACACGGCTGTGGGGAGCACCCTGAGGGGGGCCCCGAGATGCGGGAGGTGCTCCAGGTGTGGCTGTTTGGGGGGGCTGGGGCCTGTGGGGGCCCAGGAGTGGGAACACGGGTGCTCACAGGGTGATCCACAGCCGTCTCCTCAGGTCCTGTCCCCCGACGGGGGCCTCACCGTCTCGCTTCGCGGAGGAAGGCGATCTCATGGGCTGCGGGCCGGGGCCCACCTCAGTCTCTGATTCTGGGGCCACACCAGCCAGCCATCATGCTGGGGACCCACAAGGGGCCTGGGCTCAGTCACAGCCAGAGAACAAGGGCTCAGCTGAGAGAGCCTCAGGAGGCACAGCAAACTCGGTGGCTTTGGGGACACAAGAGCCGGGGTGTCGGAGTCTCCTAGGGCCCTCGGTGACCCTGCTGGGAAGATATGGAGGTTGGGACAAGGTGCCCGAGGTCTCATCTAGTGCTCGCTTTCCACATGGGGCGGGGGGCGGGGCCGGCTCATTCCCCTTCCGTTCCCGTGACGCCTTCTGGGGCAGTGACTGATGCTGGAGAGGTGTCCAGGACGAGGGGCCCGCAGGCGTCTTCGCTGTGAGAGAGCCAGCCACAGCCCTGCAGGCGCAGGACACAGCGGGAGGGAGGCTGCCACCTGAGCCAGCTCCTCAGCACGGAGCCGGGCGGCCCCAGCCTGTGACACTTGCTTCAAGGCCAGTGTGTGTGCAGAGGACACACCGGCCGCTAGCTGGACTGGGCTGAGGGGAAGTGGGGGCATCGAAGCCCTCAGCCCTCAGTGCGGGTGGGCAGTCGGTCAGTTTTCGTCTCCCGCAAACGTTTCGTGTTCAGTGTGTGTCGTGACGTGTATAGAGCTGGGTAGCCCTTGGCCCTTAATCACCCCTTATGTCCCTTCCCAGGGCACGTCACGGCCTAAGGCTGTCCTGTTGACTCACTCCCTCACTTCCGTGTGATCGGTGTCCACCCTCATTCCCGGCACAGAGAGACTCGGCGTCCGCTTTGCGAAGGCCCCGCCTGCGCCGTGCCCCCGCATGGAGGCCAGGCCCTCGGAGCCCGGACTGCTCGGTGGACGTCCGTTTTCTTTCCTGAGCACAGTTCCCCGTTGGCTTGGTGGGCAGAGCTGGCTCCCGAGATCGGCCGCTCCAGGGAGCCCTGTGCCGAGCGGAAGGGGGAGGGGGGGGAGGCGCAGGCGGGAGACGAAGGCAACAGCCATAGAAGGGCTGGCGAGGGCTTTCGGACAGTCACGTCAGGTGCCCACGGGGGAGTGGTTCGTCCCTCACAGGGCTGCTCTGGTCAGGCGGACGCGTCAGGAGGCACAGGACAGCCTGCCACCTTCCATGTGGCCTTGGGTGGTCACGGACCACACTGCACCTACATCCCTCCATCTGCCAGGGCCTTCCTGCCCCAAGAGGCCACTCCTGGTGGGGGTGTGCCAAGTGCACGTGAGCGAATTGCACCTTGGTCATCTTATTAAAACGCCTGAAGGGTGCCCTTTGCCCTCCACTGCGATCTTTGCCATTAACCAGGTCTCCACTGTCTGCAGGGGCAAAGAGCCAGCGCCTTGCACGCTCTGGCCTGAATCTTAGATCCCGAAAACGAGGCGCTCCAGCCACTCACGGCGCCCTGGCCGGGCCGAGCCTCACACTCTGCCTCCTCCCCAGGTACAAGACGGTGGTGACTCCCCGGAGGGCCGCGGCGGCCATCGCGGGCTGCTGGGCCCTGTCCTTCGTGGTGGGCCTCACGCCCATGTTCGGCTGGAACAACCTGCGTGAGGTGGAGCGGGCCTGGGCGGCCAACGGCAGCGTGGGCGAGCCCGTGATCCACTGCGAGTTCGAGAAGGTGATCAGCATGGAGTACATGGTCTACTTCAACTTCTTCGCCTGGGTGCTGCCCCCGCTGCTGCTCATGGCCCTGGTCTACCTGGAGGTCTTCTACCTCATCCGCAAGCAGCTCAGCAAGAAGGCGTCGGCCTCCTCGGGCGACCCGCACAAGTACTACGGGAAGGAGCTGGGCATCGCCAAGTCGCTGGCCCTGGTGCTCCTGCTGTTCGCCCTCAGCTGGCTGCCGCTGCACATCCTCAACTGCGTCACCCTGTTCTGCCCCGCCTGCCGCAAGCCCAGCACCCTCACCTACGTCGCCATCTTCCTCACGCACGGCAACTCCGCCATGAACCCCATCGTCTACGCCTTCCGCATCCAGAAGTTCCGGGCCACCTTCCTGAAGATTTTTAACGACCACTTCCGCTGCCGGCTGGCACCCCCAGCGGAGGAGGGCCCCCCGGAAGAGAGGCCGGACGACTAGACTTCGCTGCCCCCGCCCGCCCTCGTCCAGAGCATCTCGGGCCGGTCCTCTCCTCCCCCGTCCCACTCGTCTCCGTGAGCCTTTCCCGGCCGGGCCGTGGGGTGTGGGCGCCCTGCACCCCTGGGCCCTGGAGGAGACTTGGGGGGCGGTCCATGGGTCGGACTGTGGCTTGACCTCCCCACTGGCCTGGCCTCAGCTTCCGGCCAGGCAGGGCCTGGGGAGACGAGGAGAGGCGGGGCCTTTTGGGCAGGGCGCGGCTGGCCCGGCCGTGCTGGCGCGGGGGCAGGATGGCGCAGAGGGGCGGGGCTGGGCCCTTTGCCTTGAGCTCTCCCTCCCGCAGGCAGAGGCGGCTGCAGCTGCCGAAGGGTCAGGACTCAAAGGGATTCGCCCCCACTCCCCAGGACCCAGTGCCCGGCCATGCTGGGTGCCAGGCTCCTGCTCTCGTTGCCCTGGAGAGCCCAGGACTAGACTTGGGGGCAGCAGAAAGGGGGTGCGGAAGTCATTTCCTTTGGACTCTGGTGGGGCTGGGCCCAGAGCCAACGTGCAGTGGCAGGTGCGGGCCATCAGGTGGCAGCACTGAGCATCCCGAGGAGAAGCCTGGAGTGCAGCTACCTGTCACCTGGGCCGCCAGCTCCCCCAGGTCCCGCAGAAAGGCCTGGAGTCTCCCAGGTGACACCATGTCAGCTGCTTCTGGCCTGATGAAGACATGCCAGCCGTTGGGAGCACCCTGCCTGCCTTGGGGGAGGGGGTGTGGACGAGAGAAAGTGGGCAGACGGTGGGCACTCCTGGGGTGACAGGCGACAGGCTGGAGCGAGGCAGAGACCACCCTCCTGAGAGCGTGGGCAGGAAAGTCTCCCTGGCGTTTAAATGTCCTCAGTACCCTGGCATTTAGCCCAGTTTCCAGGGGCTTTGGGACAGCGGGGGAGGGTCTGCCCCCTGTGGGGAGGGGGGGGCGGGCTCTGAGTGTCACTAGCGACTCCAGGCCCTGTCCCTTCTCGGTGGTGCCTTGTGCCCTGGGAAGCCACCTGACTAATAAAGGGCCGCGAAGCCTCGCGGAGCGCACACTGCTGGCTGCCCACCCCGCTGGGTCAGAGGGCGAGGACCACCCAGGCAGAAGGGAGCCGCGGTGGGGGAGGGGGAGAGGGCCTCGGAGCTCGAGGCTCCAGGCCGGGTGTGTCCGTGTTCTCAGTCACCACGCTGGGGCAGCACGTTCTGAACGTGAAAGCGACCGCCTGAAAACCCCTGGCATCTTCCCCCTGGCGGTGTCCTGGGCGGGGACCTGTCCCGAAGGCGCGCACTGTCACGGAGACCAGGCACCGTCACACCACACAGTTTTATTTGACTGCCCCGCCCCCCTCTGCAGGACCTGCCCGTCTCCGCCTCCCAGGGCCCTGTGCCCAGGAAGCCAGGCCGGGGCTGGGAGCAGAGCCATCCGCCATTGCTATGGAGACGGGGGCCTGGGACATCTGGGGAGCTGATTCTGGTCCTGGTGGGCCTGGTGGCCCTGAGCCCTCAGGTCTGCAGCACCTGGCGGAGAGCACGCTTGACGAGCCCCAGGTGTTGGGCAGAGGTGGGAAGGCAGCGCCCGTCCCCTCCCCAGACTTCCATCTCTCGGGCTCGAAGCCTGGGTCCGAGCTCTGCCCACCTCCTCACTGTCCAGAGCCTCAGAGTGACCTGTGCAGGGCAGGCAGGCACAGGTGGTTGTCTCTACTTTTCTGATGAGCAAACAGAGAACGCCCTGGTCCCTCAGAGCCAGGACTAGACCATCCTCTGAGTCCCTGCTGTCCAGGCCCCAGCCGCAGAGCCCTGCCAGCCGCGCTGCTCCGGTGTCTCTGGGACCCCCGTGGGGCTGTGTGTGGCTGTGTGTGGCTGCAGGTCTGTACCCGGAGCTCACCGCTGCCCTCTCCTTTTGCCCCGGCCCTGGTCCAGCCCCTGCCCAGAGGCAGTGCGGGCAGTGGGCCCAGCCGCTTACCTCCCTCCCGTCACAGCTGCCTCCAGCGGCTCTTCAGTGTGTGGCTGAGGCTGGGAGAGGAGCCCACAGGTTAGAGCTGGGGGGGAGGTGGGAGAGCTGAGGGGGTGGGAGAGCCACAGGACCACCCCAGGCAGGCCCTGCAAACCCCATGCCCCATCAGGCCACCCTCCCGCATGGAAAGTCCTTCTGGCCGTCTGACCTTGACCTCTACACCTCTGACTCGCCCTGAGGTTCAGCACTCAGCCTCGTCCAGCACAGAGGAGAGATGGCCTTGCTGACCCTCCTCAAACTTCACCTTTGACCTCCAGCCGGCAGTCCACAGACGCCTCCCCCAGAGCGTTGATGGCCTTGCAGGTGTAGACACCGGAATCGAAGGGGCTGGGCTTCCGGATCTCCAGGGTGCAGACGCCTTGCTCCGAGAGGGTGCGGTACTTGGGGTTGCCCTGCAGGTCTACCTGGTTCTTCATCCAGATGATCTTGGGCTGGGGGAGCATGGTCACGGGAGTGCTGGGGAGGCTGTGGACCGGGGCGGGGCTCCCCAAGGAGGCCAGGAGGCCTGGTGTGAGCCCGCAGCCCCCTGCTCACCTTGGGTGAGGCGCGCACGCTGCAGGAGAGCTGTGTGCTGTAGCCCGCGGTGGAGGTGCGGTCGGCCAGGGGCTGGGTGAACAGCGGGGCTTCCGAGAAGTCTCTCTTAACAAATCCTCGAGGTTTGGCAATAATCCCTGGATTTGGGGAGAAAACGTGCTGAATGCGAGGTTACAGGAAGAGACCTCACCTCTTTTCCTACACAAATCGCTGTAGCTGCCACTCAGGCCTCTCACTTGATCTGACACAATCTCTGCAGGGTGAGCTCGTCACCCCACTTGACAGATGGGGAAATAAGGCCCTGGGTGGGTGACTGGGGTGCAAGGTCGCATGATGCCTGTGGCTATCTGGACGCCCCGAGGGTGGCGGGTGACCCGCCTGTCCTGCTCCCTCCTGTGGACCCCAGGCTGCGGCGTCCCTGGGGAGCCGGGCGTGGCCAGACCGTGGGCACTCAGCGGGTGTCTCAGCGAGCCCCTCCTGCTGGGTCGGGAGGGGGCACAGAGCGGGCGGGGAGACCAGTGGTCTTGGCTGAGGGTGGAGGCCAAGCCCAGCGACACCACACTTCACTTCTGCCCCTTCGAGCACACGTTTCTTCCTCGTTCTGTGCAGCTCGGAGAGCGTGGCTTCCAGAGTGTGGCTGTGCAGGGAGGCAGGGTGACGGGGAGGACGGGCTGGGACGTCACATGGGACGCAGGGGGATGCGCCCCGAGTGGAGACAGCAAACACCGTATCTCGCTTGTCCATCTCTGTGGTGTCACACGAGGGCCGGAGGTCTGTGTGTTCGGCAAACTGGCCACAGTCCGCCGTCCACCGTCCGTACACACTGCCCTGCAGGCTGGCTCCCTGGGGACACTGCCCATGAGAGCCAGTGACCGCCGTGATGTTAGCAGCCACATGGCATCTTTAGGATAAACGCACGGCCTCCCGAGGGAGCAGTTATTGGCAGGGGTCTGCTCGACGTGTTTGTCGAGTCGGGCCCCACGTGGCTCCAAAGCTGCGTGGCTGTGGACGGGGAGGTGCTCAGGGACCCCGCGGGGAGGGCGGCTGACACGCAGAGGAGGAGGGGGCGGAGGTGGGCCCGGCCCAGACCCACCTGCCTTCCGGATGTGCGCCAGCTCCTTGGTGACGGCGGCCGAGGTGCTGAGTCCACACAGGTTTTCCGAAAAGACCCGGAAGGAGTACGCGTTGCCCACGACGAGGTCGGAGACGGTGCAGGTGGTCGGGCGACAGCGCTCCAGCACCGTGAACCATTGCTGCGGGCAGCAAGGTCACCGCACCTGCCACCCTGCCACCCCCAGAGGCCCGTCTGTGCCCTGTTCCTGGGAGGCTGAACTGTTCAGCCTCGAGCCTGAGGGACTTTGAATTGGAAGACGGGGCCCCGTTTCATTCGGTCGACCTCTCCGAGGTCCTCAGAGAATGCCAGAGCCTCGCACTGGGGACCGAGGACCTACAAACTCGGGGTCACGTGGGGGCTCCTTGGAAGTTCAGGGTCTCAGCCCCACTCCAAGCCTATTTAGTTAGAATCTGCATTTTAGCGAGATTCCCAGTGATTTCCACACATGTGACGTTTCCACAAGTGCCACCTGGAGTCTGAGACCCTCCCCTCTTTGGTCGTTGGGAGGAACCAAAGGCCACACGAGAGTCTGGCCGGCTAGCGGTAGGGACACCAGAATCAGGCCCGGGACTCCCGGCAGGCGGCCTCACCCCGGTCCTCCTGTCGGCCTTCTGCACCGTGTACCCCAGGAGCTCTGCGTTGCCCGTGTCCTGGGGTGGCACCCACTGCAGGGCCGCGTTGCAGCCCCAGACGTCCAGTAGCCGGATGCTGCTGGGGGGCCCTGGTTTCTCTGCAGGACCAGAGTTTGGGGGTGACGAGGAGGGTGGGCTCGCCACGACGCCCCACGCCCAAGGTGCTCCCACTGCACCCCCTGGCCTCGCCCCTGGCCTGACCCCAGGAGCTCCGGGGTAGGAGGCAGGGGGCTCTGGCCTCCGGTGTGCAGCCTCCCGGCCCCTACCAATGACCAGGACGTCGATGGCCGCCTTCGCCTCCAGGCCTTTCAGGCTCACGGTGAGCTCGTAGCGGCCTGAGTCTGAGCGCTGGGCCGAACGGATGAAGAGGATGGAGTCCCGGTCCCCAGAGCGCACGCTCACTCGCTGGCCGTCCAGCGCATGGCCGTTGTGGGTCCACGAGGCGTGGGGCTTGGGGCTCCCCTGGGAGGGAGGTGACCTCAGGCTGTGTCTGGGGGAGCCACCCACCCCCACCTGCCCAGGAGGAGCAGCAGAGGCTGGAGCCACGGGTGCTGCCCAGATCCCCACCCTCCAGACGCCCGGCCAGCCCTGTGTCCCAGGCTGCAGCGGGGCGTCCAGAGGCGGGTCTGGCCGTGACTGTGTCCTGGGCCGGGCCCCGGGGCCCCTGGCACTCCCTGGGCTCCTCTGGCCCCTCGGATGGGGTTCTGATCGCCACCCAAGCCGGAGGCACGCACCTGGAAGGGGACCTGCAGGTTGACCTGTTCTCCCACCTGGCGGATGTAGGTCTGACGGAGGTGGCCGGGGACGCGGATCCTGGGGGCCTCTGCATGAAAGCGAGACCCAGGCTCAGCGCGCAGTGGGGACGCTGATCGGTGGGCTGCTGGGTGCGCCCTTGCGGAGAAGATGGAGATGGTTCTCGAGATGGTGTGGGGGGGAGCTGGGAACCAGGAGGTGCCAGGAGGGGGTACTGGTGAGCATCTGGGCATTCCCTGGGCTTCTTCCATGTGGGGTTCTTGGGCACCAGGGGTTGGGGAGCCCTCTGCTGCCCTGCATTCCCTAATCCAGCACCCCGCCGCCCCACACGAGCCCAGGGCCTTCCGAGGGGCCCCAGGGAGACCCACCAGCCCATGGCCTGTGTCCAGGCCACGAGGGAGGGTTAGGGCCTTTGCCCGCCACTTGACACCACAGCAGACACCTTTCCTCCTCTGTCACCCACGCACCCCCCTCAGCCTCACGGCTGGGAAACCCTTCCTAAAATCTGGCTTCAGCCCCACACTGGGGCAGGGAGCCACATTCCTGGCTGTCACCTAAAAGACGCCACCCCTAAAGCCATCAAGGGAAACTGCCACAGCTTCGCCTGTCCCTCAGAGGGGACGCAGTGGTGGCGACTGAGGCTTCTCAGTGGCAAACAGGTGGCAGCAGTTGGTGGCCTGCAGGGCGGAGGGGAGGACACAGTGAGAAGGAACACTGTGTCTCCGTGGGTCGGCTGTGTGGGCGCTTGGCTGGGGGTGCGTCAGGCCTGGAACGCTCGGCAGCTGCAGGTGTCCGGGAAGGGACAGCTGAGCGGCCGAGGATACTGGATGGCCCCACCCTGCCCATGAGGAGGGCCCGGCTGTCCCGTTTGCTCACGGCGCTGGCCCCTCTCTCCAGGAACTCCCCTTCTGTCCTGCCAGAGGGATTCTGATGGAGTGACGGGTACTGAGTGTGGCCGTCAAGGCTGGGCTTCGGGGTAGAGGCCGGGCCCAGAGTCAGGCCCTGGGGTCCTGGGGGAAGGCCCAGGACTCTCCAGGCGCCTTCAGGGTCCCCGGCTCCTCGGATCGGCTGTGACAGCCTACGAGTCCAAACTCCCCAAGGCCCACATTTCTCAGGTCCTGGGGCTGAGACGTGCACCTTCGAATCTAAGCATGGCCCTCCTGCGGCCACGAAACCCCTTTCTGGAGGCCTTGTCCAGACTGTGGGGGCCCCCCCTGCGGGGGGCAGGGTTGGGGTGGGCAAAGAGAAAGGTAGAGAAGGCCTCAGGCCACCTGCTGGCCTGCGTCTCTCTTCACCTGGGGCCCTGGGCTGTCCCCAGGGACCTTGGATCAGACCGGGTGACTCACTGCCATCAACTCAGCTTCTCCGCTCCCCGCCTCCCGCTGAAATCGGACCGGCTGTGGGAGGGAGCGAGGGCAGGCCCGAGGCTAATGCCCCTACAAACAGGAACTTAGCAACAGCTGGGCACTGCCCCCCGTGGGTGGAGATGCCTTCGCGGCCCTCGGCCTCCTCCCACCGGGGCCTGGCGTGTTCGTTCTGGGGGCCAGGAAGCCCTCTGCCAAGGCTTGGGGTGGACCCCTCAGGGGCATGACCTCTGGACCTCCCGCGGCCCCTTGCCGCTGAGGGACCTGGAACTTTATGGCCGGATGGTGGCAGGACGCAGCCTGACCGTGTGAGGAGCATGGGGTAGCGACGGCCCCAGCTTGCTTCTCTGTCCATCGGACACGGTGCCCGGAGGGCTGGGAGCAGGGCTTTACCTACGGCCTCCTGGATGTGGACGAGCTGGTCCAGCACAGCTGGCGGGCCAGCGCCAGCCAGGCTCACGGCTGCCACACGCAGGAAGAGCTTGTCGCCCAGGGCCAGGTTCCGCACCGTCTGCTGGGTCACCATCGCGGGCCGGGCGTTCACAGGCACCCACTCTGAGGCTGGGTGGGGGCACAGGCACACGCTGATCCGATGCGTGAGCCCCCTCTGTGGGCCCCCAACTCCCCTCCCCGGACCCCTCATTCTCAGATGGCCGCAGACACCTGACACGGCACCGCGGAGTGGTGTCCGGAGCAGGGGACACGGTCACCAAGCCGTGCGGCAGGCAGGTGCGGAGGCCGAGGGCAGCTGAAGCAGCAGCACGGAGGCGGCAACAGGAAGTTGGCCGGGGACCCCTCACCCCCTCTTGCTCTGCCCCGCACCCCTCAGCTTCTCCGCTCCCCGCCTCCTGTGCGCCCAGCGTCTCCACCCTCCTGTTCTGGGGCTGCAGCCGAGGTCACTGGGGCGGCCCCCTGCGCACGCCCCATCTCCTCCGGACCGGCGCTGGCGGGGCCCGGCTCACCTCCCTCCCGGCGCAGCTCCAGCACGTAGCCCCGCAGCCCCGGCCGCCCCAGCCTCTCCGGGGGCTCCCAGCTCACTGTCACTGCCCGGTCACTCACGTCCTGCACCGTCAGCAGCTGGGGGGCACTGGGCACATCTGAGGAGGGGAGACGGCTGAGGCACGACACCTTCGCTGGGAGGCGCAGGCTCGGCCGCCGTGGGGGCAGGTGCCTGAGGGGCAGCCACAGGGGCCTCTGGTGCGGTGACTTCCTCCTCCGAGGGCTGTGCGGGCTCCTCTGGGGGCTCGGAGGCATGCTCCTCAGTGACCTCCGAGGTGGCCTTTCCCGTCATGGCTGCTCTGGCAGGGGTCACGGGCTGCAGCGTGCAGAGGTCGCATGGAGGGTCTGGGCTTCCAGGAGCCGGGGCTTTTATAGGCAGGGGCTGCCCCGCCCCCAGCCGAGGATCCCAGCTGTGGGGCTGGGCGGGAGGCGTGAGGCCGTGAGGCCGGGAATAGCTCTGGGGAGGGACCTCAAGGGTCCCTCATCCATCACCCGCTTGGCCTTCCGTGGCCAGGGCGCTGGTGCCCAGGCGAGGGGAAGGCACAGACGGGTGAGACGGGACACGGCCGGGGCCTATGCCAGGGGTCAGGGCTGCGCATGGCAGCTCCCTCTGCGGAACGAACCGGATCAAGCTGCGCTGGCCTATATGGGGCCACTTGCGCCCAGGGCTCCTCAGGCTGGGGTGCAGACAGCGGAAACCACCGTCTGGGGGAGCAGCCCCAGCCTTCCCCCTGCCCCCACCTCCCCTGGGGCTGTCCCCCAGCATACGCACTGCAGGGTCCTAGAGACGGAGACCTGGGAGGCCGGGGGGGGGCCGAGGAAGCCTCCCACGCAGACCCGGCAGGGGCCCGAAGCCCTGGGCCCTCTGCTGGGGGTGGTGGCCCGGGAGCTGTGGGCCTGTCACGGGGCAGGACGACAGACTCCCAGCCCGGGGAGCGGGGGCAGGGATGAAGTCGGAGGCATGGGA